CTAGAATATTGCACAACATTTGCACTGAAGTTACTTCATAAAACTCATCTTAAAACAGAAAATCATGCTGTAAGGAAGAGTTTAACTCTGCAGTGCCCCCTGTGTCTGCTAACCCTTGCCTCACCAGAAAGCCAAGACGTTCAAGCTTGGAAATTCGTAGATCCAGTATCTGCTATCTCTGTACCAAATTCTCTAAACGTCTCAGAAAACTCCAACTCAATGATAAACTTAGACGACATTTTTCAGAATAGCAATGAGGTCGGATCTCAACTACGTAACCATTCCCATGTAACCAATTCTCTTGTACATGTCAGTACCCAACTTGATTTTGTACAGCCAATAGTTCCTGGTGAATCTGTAAGGCAAATTCAACTCTGTGATTATGCCATTGACCAGATCACCAACAATTACTGGAATGTAATTGCAACAAAAGAATGCAAATCAGCTTTGAGTGCCAAGGAGCTTGTGCACTACAAAACAGATGAGCAATCTGGAATTCTCTTTTACAAAGGACGGATTTCAAATGAGCAAAGAATCTCGGTGCATGACTTGGACATGCTTAACCTGGATTTTCTTGACAACAACATGATATCATTTCATTCTCCCTGTGTCATGTCTTCATCAGACATATTCTATGCCTTCTCTTTGCATGTGCATCATAGTCTTGTGCCACATGGTGGCGTTGAAAGCACACTTCTGGAAATATCTAAGAGATTTCACCCAATTAAAGCCAGAAGAGTTTTATCTTCCATTATCAAAGACTGTATTCGTTGTAAGATCCTCAAGAAGGTAACACTAGAGGAAGGAATGCAAAACCACAATGTTGCAAGGTTTACTATGGCTCCACCCTTCTCATTTGCGATGCTAGATCTTGCTGAAGATTTTCACACAAAATCCAGATTTAGTGGAAGACAAAGAATGAGAACCCCTGCTCTTGTCATAGTCTGTCTGCTTACTGGTGCCATTGGAATTTATGCAATGGAAGATTGGTCTACCCAATCAGTTCTCCAAGGGATTCAACGCCATAGCTCAAGGTATGGAATCCCATCTTATCTCTTTGTTGACCCAGGCGGTCAACTGAAGGCTTTAGCTAATGTCAGTTTCAGTTTCACTGATTTGCACAACCAGCTATTCACCATGAAATGCAAGCTTACAGTTTCCTCCCCCAAAGCTCACTCAAGCCAAGGCAGAGTTGAAAGGAAAATAGACTTCCATTATCAAAGACTGTATTCGTTGTAAGATCCTCAAGAAGGTAACACTAGAGGAAGGAATGCAAAACCACAATGTTGCAAGGTTTACTATGGCTCCACCCTTCTCATTTGCGATGCTAGATCTTGCTGAAGATTTTCACACAAAATCCAGATTTAGTGGAAGACAAACAATGAGAACCCCTGCTCTTGTCATAGTCTGTCTGCTTACTGGTGCCATTGGAATTTATGCAATGGAAGATTGGTCTACCCAATCAGTTCTCCAAGGGATTCAACGCCATAGCTCAAGGTATGGAATCCCATCTTATCTCTTTGTTGACCCAGGCGGTCAACTGAAGGCTTTAGCTAATGTCAGTTTCAGTTTCACTGATTTGCACAACCAGCTATTCACCATGAAATGCAAGCTTACAGTTTCCTCCCCCAAAGCTCACTCAAGCCAAGGCAGAGTTGAAAGGAAAATAGCTATTATCAAAGACCTACTGAAAAAGATGGGAAATGCAAACTTCCTTATGTCATTTCTAAACTGGGAAACTTGCTTCGCTCTTATCAGTAACCATCTCAACAATTTGCCAATCTGCCGGGCATCTGCCAGAACAGTAAACTCCCCCGAGTACACTGTTATAACTCCTAACCGTTTACTTCTTGGTCGTAATAACTACAGAAGTATCACAGGTCCATTGCTCCTTGACTGTACTCCAACCCAGATATTAGACAGAATACAGGATGCACAAGTAACATTCTACAAATTATTATCCAAACAGATGCATTTACTCATTCCAAAACCTAAATGGTTTTCATCTGATAAAGTGAATGTTGGAGACATAGCCTTGTTCTTCATTGATGAAAACCTAATGAACATCAGGAACCAAGTGTGGAAATATGGTTTGGTCACAGCCATCTCAGGACAACGCATTACACTGGAGTATACTACTCAGAACTCATTCACAAAAAAGTCCATAAAGCGCAGTAAACGTGATATTGTCCGCATATCCTCAGAAAATGAACTGGATTTCAACTCAAGATCTCACAAAAACAAAGTCATTAACCTTGATAAGAAACATTGATGATGTTGTGAGAACTTTATTAAAAGCAATTGAGCATCTATGTCCTGATTTAACTTGATCACATTACTAAGCATGTCAAGCATGGCTGAAGGATCTATTCCTTGCAGAATATGCTGAAATACAGTACTGAACAGAACTCAACCCATTTGATCTGCTTCAGTTACCTGTGTTATATTGTGTGTTTATTATCTGCATCTTAAAATATTTGTAAATAAATGTTTCTCATTTATCATTTATCGATAAAGAATCTAACCACAAACTGTGTTTCTTACTATTTAATCATAAGTCCCAGTGTCGAATACTTACTTTGGGAGGATTTAATAATACGTATTTAGGATGGAGGAAATTCCTGAATTCCACAGAGCTGTTAGAGCTATGGATCAAGATAATCCATCTGTCATTCACAACCTTCTCACAGGTGACAAGGAATTATCAAACTTGTTTCGATCACCTCAAGAATTGGAATCCATGATGAATAAAACAATGTACATGGAAACAATCAACAAGTGTAATGATTCTGAAATGTGTCCTGAATCTATAGATATTTTCAACAGAAATATGCTTCCAGGAAGATCTCCAGTACTAGATCACCTAGTGTTTTCTTTCAAAACACAATCTGAAATACATGCTGGGGGATCTTATGAGAAATTTCTTTCCAAAACTGTAAAAATGCTTTCAAACCATAGGCAGGTTTCCGCTAAAACCTTCCCCATGGTCAGCACAATTACCTACAGGGAAACTAGTGTTTCTGATGTAAATCAGTTTATTGCATCCTTCAACAAATCTCTGAGAGAAAATGAGATTTATGATTCCTCTTTACCCTGTAGTCTCTACAGTCTAGATATTGAGTATTTGAAACCTGAATCATCAGTAATGTTGAAAACTACTAATAACAAAGGAGCTCTAGAGATTAAAAAGCTAAACCTGAAAAAACTTCCAGCTCGAATCTGTCTTACTCTTCTGGATAAAAGATGGGATATTCTTGTCCCCTGGAAAACAAAACCTGGGATTAATACCCTATCTGTTAGAAAACCCTTGCATGATATTTGGCACAAATTGTTTTCAAAGCTGCAAGGTACAGCTGTAGGAATTGATCTACATTTCAAGATATCAGAGCTAGCTGAATTCATTAGTTCATGTTACATGTTCACCAATTGCAAAGGTGTCATAAGCATTAAACACTATGACCTCAACACTTTACTAGCAATAGCGGGATTTCCATGGATTCCTCTTGACCTCTCCTGCCTAACCTACTTCTTCACAGGAGGTTTGCACCAAACTCAATCTGAAGTTCAGAATGGATCCAACAGGTGGGCTGAGCTACATATTGCAGGATATTTAAACTTATATCTCCAAAGCAAAGGTCAAGCTGTCATTAACATAGCATTAATTTCTTACCTGATTATCCTTACCAATTGGTTCCCAACTCCAGGCATATCGGCCATAGTCTCAAGGAAAGAAGTTGACAAATTTCTGATCTGGTTTAGCTCCTTCATAACAGCAATTCTAAAGAGTTCTTCTCTTCCAGAATGTGCTGAACATGATACACTTTACAGTGCTCATCAACCATTTGCTCTTGTAGAGTATATTGTGTTCAATGAAGGATCCTTATTGTCTGGCTCTGACATAAAATCCATGATACCATCCTGGAGAAACATTTCCATGGGAGGTTGCTTAACTGACAAGCAAGCATTTGACCATATATTCTTCAATGTTCACAACATTCTAAGATCCACAAACCTCCCTTTTCACCTCAGATGGACCAACAACCCTGACTCTTATGGAAACCCATTTGTATGCACGGATATCCCTGTAAAATATTCTGTTCCTGAAGAATATTACAGACTGCTAGGTGTGAACCGCCATGATTATGTTATAATAACATGTCACATAAAAGATCTGGAAAATCAGGGTTCTGAATTGCGTTGCAAGTTTTCTCCAGCAATCCAACTGCTGAAAACCCAGTTGCCAAGTCTCAAGCTGCTATCAAACAATGAACTTATGCTACTGTACACTTGGAGATATACAAGCCATGTAATTAAACTTTATTACAGATCAGTTCATGACACCACTGAAAAGGCGTTCCAGTACTTTCACCCTAAAGAGCTGGAGTTCATCAAGCCAATATTGTCCGCCAATGTTGGCAACATTTTATCAGTACCCGATATTCTAGTGGAATTGAAAAAGCAGCAACAGCAAGCAAGAGCTACATACAGGTATTCAGAGCTCCTTGATCATAAAGCTTCCAACAAAAGAAAATTTAGTCCTTCTGCTTTGCATAAAATATGTAAAGATCAGAATGCCACCCACGAAGAAATGCTGACTAGAGTGTCTCACCTCCAAGCTGAAAAGAAACAAAAACTCCAAACAGTTGAAGCAGATCTATTGGCAAAACCCATTGATGTATCTGAAAATGAAGAAGAACTGATTGTACATGTTCCAGAACACATTACTGCAGAGCAATTAATGCAGTCAAATTGTTTCTAACTTTATTGTTCCTTGTAATGTACTATTCTAAACTATATATTTATCCACAAATTTGTTTACTAAAGTGTATGTTACAATTTCTTAAACTTGCTTTGAAAATGTTCCATTTTCAATTTTTCCTGCCCCCCAATGTTGTACAAACTGTACATACATGAAGAAATTGAACCAAATATTTCGACCCCCTTCCTGTATTAGTAGAACCCTGGAGAAGGATGAATATACAGAAACCTGATTACTTCATACTTCATCTCTCTGCGTCCTGAGAGGTTGATGTATAGGAGCAATGACGACCTCGCCAACCCTCTTGGAAAGGTCAAAGTCGTTTTTATGTTATTTTACACTGAAATAAATTATTGTACAAATTTATTGCACAGCTGTATTTTCTCTACCAGTGAATGCACTGAATTATTCTGATTTATTGAAGAGGTTTTTACGTATAGAAATGATTATCCTCTATAAACTAAATCTAGTCTGTACGACATAATTCTTGCATACCATAATTCTTTTTCACCCTCTTCTCAATTTGAAGGTCCATCAACTCCACATGACGAAGCCCTTCAAAGTATGCTTGAATGATGATGACCTAAAAAAATATGAATAAATCTTTCTTACTCTGTCTTTAAATCCATAATCTGTAAATTCAGGAACAAATATTTGTTTGCAAGAATCAAAATCAACAATTAAAAAAAAAAACTTATTTTTCTTGTTTGTACTGTGATATGTAATTTATTCATCTATTGTGCAATGTACAATGTTACCCACAAAGATTGAGAATGCAGATACAATTACAAAAAATGTTTTTTTTCCTGATTTCCTGAAGCTATAAACAATTTTTATCCACTGATATGATATGTAACTTAATTAAAGACTTTTTTCAAGAACCTAATTCAACCTTTTTATTGAATTTAGAGTTTTAGGTCCGAATTAATGTCTCATCCTGTTTAGGTGACCCTGTTTAGTGTTTATCTATTTGTTTAATACCTTTCTAACTTGCCAATATGGTGAGTTCTCAGGGTGTTCAATGAACTGCTGAATGTCATCAGATTCAAATACAGACGCCCTCTGCTTTACATCAGTGTTGTAGCTCTTTAGCAGTGTAGTAATACCAGGAAATCCCTGCAACTTTTTGTCATAGCGATTCTTCAGAACTACATTTACATGACTATATTGGACCCACATTGAGGAAGAAGCCATTTTTCTCTCAGTTCGGATAAATTTGAAGTAATTTATAAGATCCTCTTCACCTGCAGAGCACTGTCATCTAATAAAGATCCAGTATGTTCTATAAAGTCCATCCAGGTTTTCTGGCACTAAAAAAGAGATTATTGACACAAGGAGCTCATCAATTTGATTTATATCAATTTTAAGACAATTCTTTTTTATATTAGTTCTTACCTTTTTTCTATAAGACGGCTTTAAAAGCTCAAGAGCAGATTTGAGATCAATGATGGATGACATGTTAATGGTACGGAAGCTCTATCTTGAATGATAAGTTCCTAAATTTTCTACAACTTTTGCAAAGTTTTAACAAAAAATGTTGCGAATTTTTCACAAAAATATTGAGAAATTTAGAAACCCAATTACTATTTTTAGAAATCATTAAATTTGCTTATTAAATATTTTTCAGTATGCATTAGTAAGAAATAAGAGAATTAAAATCACAATTGATAATTTTAATGATTTCGTTATTATTTTATGCCCCACGGTTGGTTATTTCGTTGAACAGGAGATTAAACGATAAATTACTGCTTAACCGGGAGTTTTCATGAGCCTTGGGCCTCCTCTTGGAGGCCCTCGGCTAAGTGGTTTTCCCCTCAATTTAATTATCCTCCCTTAATCTCCCGGTTAAGTAGTAATTAATAGTTATAATTTTTTTTTCTTCTGAATTACCGTTCATTTTCCATCTATTTCGTTTGTTTTCTAACTCAACGATCGGTCTGTATAAAAATCGTTTTTTAAAAGCTCGTTCAACAAAAGTGTTCCTTAAGTAAGAAAACGACCATTTTTTAAGTTCGTTAAAAACGTTCGTTTATTAAAAAACGATTTTTATTTGTTCGTTTAAAAAATTTATAATCTTTAAATTTCTCTGAACAAACTACTTTGTTCGTTCATCATTCGTTTTCATTTTCATGAACGACACCATCGTTCATGAAAACATTTTTTTTGTTTTTGAAAGGTTTCATTCGTTAACTACAACATTCGTTAATTACAACATTCGTTAACTACAACATTAGTTAACTACAACATTCGTTAACTACAGCATTCGTTAACTACAACATTCGTTAATTACAACATTCGTTAACTACAGCATTCGTTAACTACAACATTCGTTAACTACAACATTCGTTAGCTACAACATTTGTTAACTACAACATTCGTTAACTACAACATTCGTTCCGATATTATTTCTAAAAGTTTTTTAACCAAATGTTTTCGGGAAAATAAAGTTTACAGTAAAACTAAATTTATAAAAATAGTTTCATGCTAATTACATTCATCATCAGTCATTGAAAATACCGTACTAGCTTGTAGGCAGCTAGAGCATGCATTTAACTATAGCGATAAAACTTAACATATGGATACATATTTAAAAGGAAAAAAATTACAGAAAAAGTTTTTTTTATAGAATCTTATCAAAATGTTAAAATCAGGAAATTCAGGATATCTCTAGCTAAACATTATTTAATTATTAATNTATATCCATCCTAGCGAGGGGGAAATTATGTATATATGAGGCCGGTGGGGGGGGGAATATATACCTCCTTCTTGAATACATATCCATCCTAGCGAGGAGGAAATGTATTCCCCTCCCCACTAGTTGCTCATACAGTGATTTATTTTATAAACAAAACTTTTTCTGACTTTATGTATTTTTTAATATTTATAGGTTTTATATTTCAGTTTACCTGTCTACATTTCTACCTGTCTACCTGTCTACCTTTCTACCTGTCTACCTGTCTACCTGTCTACCTGTCTATTGTCTACCTGTCTACCTAAACTGTCTACCTGTCTACCTATTGTCTACTTGTCTACTTGTCTACTTGTCTACTTGTCTATTTGTCTACCTGTCTACCTGTCTACCTGTCTATCTGCCTATGTGTTTGTGTTTAAAATTGTATAAATGTATAAATTTGAGTTTTGAAAAAGTTAAAATAAATCAGTATTTTGTTTATTTTGAGAAGTTCCCCAAGACGAGCTATCTTTATTACTTTTCGTGTGTTCACAAAAATAAGAAAAACAAAACATAAACTAGCAAAGCTAACAGAAGTTAAATAGTGGTTCAACAAATTTTTGTTTTTGTTTTGTTTTACTTCAATACGTGTCATGGAAAGTTTTATATTCAAATTAATTTTCCAAATATTTAGAATAGCCTTTTTTTGATTCAATATTTCTTACTTTTGTTTTATAAAAACATTGTTATAACATTGTTATCTAAGATTACTGGGAATAACTTAATGCGATGCCTGGAGCTAAAAAATCCGTGGTTACAGGAATGCCTGGAAAGTGAGAAACAATCTTTCAGCTTTATAACTCATAGTAGAGAACAAGCTTTCAAATACTAAATGTCAATTTATAATACGAAATATGTACTTTGAAGAATTTCATGTTTTTCTTCAAAATTCTGAATTGGGTGGAGTGAGCATGTGTCTAAAAAAGATTCCACTGTTTGAAAAAATTGTTCTATTGATCCAACTTGAACAAAAAACATTCTAGAATTTAAAATTAAAAATTATAGATTTTCACATCATTTAATATTCCAATTGTTTTCACATTCTACTAGAATTATTTAACTAAATTAATTTCTCATATAAATTTTTTTCTTGACGAACAGAGGAAAAATCAGAGATGATTTTATATATTTATACAATTCTTATTAAAAAAAGAATGCACAAGACAGTAATTTCATTTTTTAGCTACTATTATAGTGTTTTTGTTCATGCGCTCGTTCACTGCACGATTGCTGTATTTAATGTGTATTGGATAATTTTAAATCTTACAGTCGTCTTCATTTTCCAAATGTTATGAGTCTGTCTGTATAAAAGAAAAAATGCCTCCCCCACTACAAAACTTTGGCAGTTCTCTGGCTCGAGAAAGGATTGAAGAAAGAGCAGAACAGGTTGGGAAGATAGAAACTAACACCGAGTGAAAGTACAATGTCGTTGTAGTTTTTAAAGAGGGCCATGCCCAATTCACAATGGTACCCTTTGGACATTATCTGATCAATAATGTGAAAGATATCATCGTTTTTCTATTGAAAAGTGTTTGGCTGTAACAACTGTAACGTAAATCCGCACTTTTACATAGAAAGTACAATTGACAATAATTAATTACATTAGAGAAAAACAAGGATTATATTATTTATTTTCGGTCAGACAAAGGCCCCATGGGTACCGTACCGTACCTTACCGTACCGTACACCTTACCTTACTGTACCGTACATGTACCTTTTCAATCGGATATGCCACGTCACTCTAATCATTAAGGTCACTTGCTCTGACGTATTTAGCATATTTTTATTTAGGAAGACACAAATCTAAAAAAGATCTAATATCTACATAATACAACAAGACATTCGTATATATGTTCCCTATAGCCGGCCAAACGACTGCACCGAATAGGAAAAACTTTTTTGTGGACAATCCATGGGTAGCCAAGGGGTGATGTGGGCTAAACAAATTCAAATTTTAAAAAAAATCAAATTTTTATTTTTTCAAATCTTTAATTTTTTTTTCACGGGCCACGCCGGGCCCTTTAACTAGTACACGTAAATTTTTTATTTTTGAAAATTTGAGAAAATGAATATCTTATTATATTATATTAAAGTACTAGCTCAGGAACTCAGCTTTTTTTTTGGAAACTGAATTTTCTCCATAAAAGTCAACTCCTGCACATCAAATTTATGATCTGAAATCCAAACAAACAAACAGAGATTACTACTTTATAGTTTGTATATATAGATAATATCAAACTTGTTCTAGGACAGATTAGAAAAGATGAATACAAAACAAAAAGCAGGAACTCCACTGGTAAAATAAAATAAATAAAAAAATGTTTTTAAAAAAATTTCTGTTTAAATTTTTTTTTCCAGAGAGATATAAAGTTACAGCATAGAGTTCTACACTGGATGATTGGTTTACTAGGGGAGAAACCAAAGGTAAAGACGTTAGGAATTAAATGTTAGCTGAATTTATTGATTTTAAAGAACCTGATTACTCGCCACAAACTCTGATAATCTTGATATCTTTGCGACCTGATCGGCGTTTCAGACTTTGACTTTTATCTACAGTGAAACCCTTAATAACGAATACATCGGAAGAATTTATCAAATGTCGTCTTGACAATTTTTTAATGAGTTTTATATTATATTACGTAAATTTCAGTATTTGTGAAAATAAATAAATAGTCATGAATATGCGGGAACAGTTTTAAAGAGTTCCATATAATCATTTAATAAAAAAAGTAAATATCTGCAACATTCCATTATCAGAAAGTGAAGAATACGACATTTGATTAATTCTTTCGATGTATTCGTTATTAAGGGTTTCACTGTAGCAGAACTTTGAATTAAGTCTAAGACTTCCTAAACAATTCTAAAACAGATTCAAAAAGCTTGTTCTAACCTTTCTCTCAATAAAGCGACTGCGGACGGACGAAATTTAAAAAAAAACCTTCTTTCGAACACAGGGACACATGTGGTACAGTTTACAGCGTCGTTTACTTTTACCTTTTTCCCTTTTAAAGCAAAGATCTAAAAATATATCCTTCTTTTTTTCTCTGAAATTTGATGATTTCCAATTAAGGTTTCTCTATTAACTTGACTTACGGATCTATGCAGCAAAGACAAAGAAACAGATTTAAAACATTTGCAGATATTGTTTATGCGGATAATCAGGCATGTCGCACTTTAATTGAAGGGTTTCCTTAAATTCTATCCACAGTTCCTTTGGTTTCGACATCATTTTTGAAATATAATTAGCATGGTTCATAGGAGAAAATAAGTAGAACCCTTAATCAACAAAATAATTATGAATATATTTGTGTCGATTTCAGAACAACAACAAAATATTGAAAAAAAGGTTTAGTCACTTTTTTTTCAGGGTAAAGTTGATTACGATAACTGGATACAAGACCCAGCCCTGTTAGGACAATTATTTCAACATTTAAAAGTTTAAAGATCTACAATTTCACACGCCTCTACATTTATTAAAAACTATTGTTATGTTGTTTAAATGTGTTTTTCATGTATATATGTTTCAGTGGAAGGTTGTGAATTATTTTCATATCGATGTCAAACACCTAATTAAATTGTTTTACTCTAACGCGGAATTGAAACTGTTTCAAGGAAAATGTCAAATCCTTGCAAGCACTCGCAAGCAATTATACAGTAGCAAATTAGAAGCAATATTTATTAAAGAAAAAATCTAAATTCATTCAGTAATTAACGAATGAAAAAACGCAGATAATTTAGAAAGATTAGTTTTTCCCTTTTTTCCAAAACAAGGATCAATTTTTTCTCTCATTCCGTTTGAAGAACTTTTGTATTCTTAAGATCAAATAATTCTTGTTTACAGTTCGTGTCCTGCAGACTTGTATGTATAATTCAGTGCCAATGGATATGATAGAGGTAAAATTATAAAGGACAATAGGCTTTTGGGGATCTACGATCTACGATCTACGATCCATTGATAAAGTAACTCGTCCTTAAGTCACAACGGAACCAGCTGAAATGCTTTGTTTGATTAATTATGAATTAAATATCTTTGCTTTTATAAATCTATTTATTTTCATTTGTAGATTGTCTGCAAAAGTGACTTGCGAATCTCTTGTTACAGAGACAATGGAGAAATTATCAGACTTTACAAGCCTTTACAAGGGAGTGTTCGCGAAAAATGGAAGGGGGGGTAGAGGCTTACGGCGAAAAATAAGCGCTTTTAATCGCTACGAATCTTACTGTTATCTGTTGCATCTATAAGGAGAAAATTGTTTAAAACGACTTATACTGAAAAATGTAGCGTCCATACAAATTCAGAAAGTTGCAACATACAACTAGTATCGTAAAGTAATCAATTCAATTTCAACAAATCATTCAGATATTACAACCTAAAGTTTTCGATTATTTTTCGACGCATTCGTACATAGTTAATATTTTATAATATTTGTTGTTTGTTTAATATACAATGCACTAAAAACAATTTGTTTCCGTTAGGTGTCTCTGCCGTGTGTAATCATTCAAAGCATGGAGAGCAGAAACATCTAGCTAGGGGTCAAATATTTCGGCGTTTTAAGTGCATTGTATACAAAACTAATAACACATTTTATGAAATATTAACTAATTACAAATGTTTCGAAAAATAATCGATGACTATGAATGATATGTTTAAAATTAAATTGATTTTTTTTCCGATCCAAGTCTGATTAATTTGTATGGATGCTATATAAGGAGAAAGTAGTTTATTTAATTGATATTTTATAATATTTTTTATTTTTTTCCTGTTTTGAGGATTTTGATATTTTCCAGGAATTTTCGAAAATCCAGCGCCGGCGAATTATTAACTTAAAAAACACAAAATCAAAATATGAAATATCATATTATATACGCATGCGTCGAAAAATAATGGATGACTATTGTTTGTAATATCTGAATGATTTGCTTGGAATCAAATTGATTATTTTCCGATCTGAGTTGAATGTTGCAACTTTCCGAATGGACGCTACGTTCTTCGGTATGAGTTGTTTTTAACAATTTTCTCCTTATAGACGCAACAGATAGAAGTAAGATTTGTAACACTCCATTTAAAATGACACATTATTGATCTATTTTATGGGTTCAAGGGTACAGTTGTGAATTGGCATGCCTCTCTTTAAATATAATTATTACATCCATATTACATGATCAAAACTCCCACCAATGGCAGTGCAGTATTATTGTCATGTGTCTTTGTCTGTATCACATGACCAGTATACTGCACTGCCATCGGTGGGAGTTCTGGTCACATGATACAAGCGTATACATAATATTATCAATTATATCTATTAAAAATGAAAAATAATTAATTCAAATAATAATAGGAGCAAACCTAAGTTACTTAGGCCCCTCTGGGATATCGTCGATTTCAGATTGATTGCGTATTTGCTGAATATGATCTGTTTAAACCTACTATTTTGGTACAAAAATCTATATATAAAAATGTTGTATAAGATTAACACTGTTTTATATCAATTTCTCGAGACAGGAACATCAGATAGAACTTTTATGGGTCTTGATCAACTCCTAAAATGCTTAGGTTTCATCCTATACCCCTTTCATTTTTTCTTTACAGTCACTTTAATTTATGGGTCATATGAAGTCTCACACAAAATTTGTACCGAACAGGCTCTGGTTTAAGACTTTGATTAATATCAAAAAGTATGAATTTTTTAGTTGATGATCCCCCCCCCTCCTCCTCCCCCCTTTAAATAGCTGAGGCCGAGAGACATTTTTAACCTTTGGAGATAAGAGCCATCAAATATTTTAGTTGTTTTGAAAAATATGTTTTTTCTATTAAGAAAGTACGCCAGAGCTGGGAACATTTGTGTTTGATACTCAAATTTCCGATTGATTGATATCGATATCCACCGAGGGCACTTTTAATTTGAGGATCTATAAAGAACTATACCTTTCCAAATCGTCATTTTAGTTATTCCTCCCTTGATCAAAGGCCCCTTTAACCCCTGACTGGGTACATTACCATGCGGGATAAACAAATTTTAAGAAAAGCTGGAAGCGCCCTCAATTTGCATTGTTTGTTCTAGGGTCCAGTATCTAAAGTAGAGAAGAGAGAGGATAAGCTTGAACTATTTTTAAACTACTCAAGACGGTTTGGAGTACCTGAGGTATTTTAACAATAACAAACTTTTGAAAAACACAAAGTACAATTATTTAAGACCATACGGATATAAAAAATGATTTTAAAATCTTTTTTTTTAAGAAGTATCTTTTTGATCCTGAAATTGATCTGACCTTGAAGCAAAATATTCCAAAGGTGACAAGATGTCTCGCCTCCCTCGCCAAACTGGTAAATTAATTAATAACAGACAAGATACCTTTCCTCCCTCGCTAAACTGGCAAATTAATAAATAACAGACAAGACACCTTTCCTCCCTCGCCAAGCTGGTAATTTAATAAATAACAGACAAGATACCTTTCCTCCCTCGCTAAACTGGTAAATTAATTAATAACAGACAAGATACCTTCCTTACCTCGATAAACCGGTAGTTTAATAAAAAAACATATATGATGTCTTCCCTCCATCGCTAGCCTGACAATTTATTAAAAAACAGACAAGATGTCTTCCCTTCCTTCGTTAAACGGGTAGTTTAATAAACTAGGCTTTTAGGGCGCTTCGCACCCATCTTCTATTTCAATTGTGAACATTTTCTCTTTGTATACATTGTAAAACTAAAACAAAACACAAATTTCGCGGGTTGTATAAAAAAGAAAAATCCTGAAATGTTAAAAATTTTCAAAAATCGAATTTTCTTAGGGTCACATTTTAAAAAATTCGATCATCCCTGGGGTCATGTGAGGCACCACAAAAAATTTGGGCGCGACTGGTTCAGCCGTTTTGACGTTTATTGGATACAAACGGACAAACAAAATTTAGAAATGTAATCAAATCTTTAAAGAGACTTTATCTAAAATAAAATCCATTTAAGGATTTATAAAACTCTCGGTTCACTACGGTATCTTTAAATATTTCTGTTATAAAAATGTGGACGATATCGTTTCGAAAAAAGGTAAATTTTATCCTGAAAAGCGATAATTGCGACAATTGCTCTCATAAATCACTTTTGCAAAAATCTGATGACTTTCAATATATTTAATTACAAAATACAGGGTTACCCACAAAGAATGAGACTGAAAAGACGACTTGAAACTCTTCAATTAAGAAAAAAAGTTTACAGTTGCAGGTAGATATGGGCACGTTCGATTTTTTTCATTTCGTTCGTTCATCGTTTGTGAACAACCCATTTCGTTCTTTTCATTTTAACCGTTTAACAAATGTATTTCGTTCGTTTCCAACATTATTTTCATTTTCCATCTATTTCGTTGGTTTTCTGACTGAACGATGGTTCAGTCAGAAAACTGATCGTTTTTCAAAAAATTGTTAGAAAAATCTTTTTTTAAAAGGTTTATTCCAAAAATCGTTGTTTCATTTAAAAAACGATTGTTTTTTTCCAAATCTGTTGGAAAATTCTTTATTTAGTAAAAAAAACTATCGTTTTTTTCAGGTTTGTTTGAACGATTATAAATCTTTCGTTTTATTTTTTTTTTCGTTTTTAAACAATAATAATTTTTTCATTTCTCTGAACGATCTATTTCGTTTGTCAATCGTTAGTTTCCACGAAAATTTTCGTTTATTCTCCATGATCGTTGAAAAAAACGATGCCCATCTCTAGTGGCAGGTAATCATGAATCTAAGAAATAGATTCAGCACTGTCGTCTTAGAAGTCTCAACATTTGCGGGTTACTCTGAATCTAAATATTTATAGTGTTTGCGCAGGTTCAAAGGGTTCTGACGTGAATAGCGCATGCGGTTCTTTACATCAAGGGCCATGTAAAATTACGTTGACAGTCTCTTTAAAGAAAGCTATTTCAGGCCAGATTTGAAGAATTTGAAGATGTTAACATAGAAGAGGAAGAGAGTGAAGGAGAAGATGACGATGAAAGGATAGAACAAGAGAAAAGAGAAGGAGACAAGAGAACTGCTGATTTTGAAATTGTGAAAAGTAATAAATATAATATAACTTAATAAATAATAATATGCCCAAAAGTGAAACTTGGCTTTTTAAAATAAGTATTATATTACAAAATGTTTTTTTACTCACTTCTAGTAAGAGCTAGACAGTTTGCAGTTAAAGTGTATTTGATGTTGTTACAAAGCAAATAAATCAATTAGTATCTTTAATTTTACAAGTGTTAGTAAAAATATTTTCTTTCCAAATTAATTCATTTATTTTGAAATCACAGACTTTAAAAAACTTTAATTTCGAATAAAAGTCGACATAACGTCTTAGCATTAACAGGGTGTTAAAACTTTATCAACAGCTGAAATTATGGGATATCTACCACCTCCACATCTGTTATTGAAATCATCTGAAGGTAAGTCCCAGAACATTGCTCCACCTAAATCATTATCCAGGATATACTGAGCCTTGAGTCCTGCTATTGCTGGATCATCATATCCAACCCATTGGTTTCCATTGTATGCATATGGTCCACGTGACCCAGTTAGATCATTGACAACTGTCCAACCATTCTTCAGGTTTAGACATATCTCCTGGTAGCTAAGGAATCCTGCCTGCTGAGTGATACTACCCTGAGAACCTGCTCCGGATCCACTTGATCCAATACTGGTAGATGAACCACTCAAGGTCCATGATTGACCATAAGTTGGGATTCCAACAACCAATTTGCTTTTTGGAGCTCCTTTACTCAACCAGTAGTTAACACTAAAATAACAGATTTTAATTTAAACATTATGTTTTTTCAAGTAATCAAAACTTACGCAAAGTCCACTGATAGCTCATCAGATGAAGAGGTAGAGTAAAGTGGAGCATGATGATTAACAGTACTCTCCCAGGATCCATGCATGTCATAGGTCATCAAATGGATTGCATCAAGATACTTTGATAATTCAGGAACATCATAACCAGCATCTATCTTGCTCTTTCCAGCAGCCACTGCTGCTGTCAATTCCCATCCATAAGGTTTAAAAGCAGTTTTTAGCTCTTTTACCCATGCAGCAAAAGTAGATTTTTCAGATGCAGACTGCTCAAATGCAGGGTATTCATAATCCAAATCAAGACCATCAAATTTATACTTGGCAATAAATTCCACCGCTTTAGTCACAAAGTTTGCTCTTAAAGCAGCAGAGGCAAGAAGAGTGGCATATTTGTTAGTCCTTGAGTCATTCCATCCTCCAAGGGCAATCAAAAACTTCTTATTTGGATACTGAGCACGGAGTCCGACAAACTTTTCGTAATTTTTAAGATCAATGTCTAGCCATGAGTCAAAAACATTCATGGTATAAGTACTTCCATCCAGGGTTGCAAATGCATAAACAATATGTGTGCATAGGCTTACATCAATATCTTCAACTTTGTAGCTGCCAAGACCTGTAAAATAGAAAAAAATGTTTGGTTCTTGTTAACATTTTCAGAAACTCTTAACCCTATTCAAAATTTGCAATTTTTTTCTGAAAACATATCGAATGTTATAGATTTTTGTCACAATAAGAAAATATGGGGGGAGGGGGGGGGGGGCCATTTCTTTTTTTGTGTAAACCAGAAATCAGTCGGAATAGAGTTAAAAATTTCATCAACTTTTTATCTTTATAAGTAAAAACCCAATACTTATAAAATAAAGCTAATTATTTAATTACCTGGTCTGTAATGTGCCCAGTTGGGATAGTAGCAAACCACTTTCTTTGGCGAGCAGTTTCCGCTTCCAGTAGACGTAGTTGATGATACCCCTGGGGAAGTTGTAGCTGGAGTTATTACTGAAGTGATTGAAGATGTGACCGGTGATTGTGTTGTAGATGGTTGAGATCCTCCAGTTCCCTGGCAAAGCTCATTCTAAAAAATTTAGATTTTTAAAGTTCATTTTTTCTTCTCAAAATCTTATATAGAATTACATTATTAAGCTTGATCGAAGTAAATGAAGGATTCTTGGACCCTGAGAAACTGATCTGCAGACCAAGAGATAGAACTGATCCAGCTTTGGATCCTGAAAACCAGGATTTAGATGTAACCGTGAAGCTGGTTCCAGAAGATGGGGTCACATCTGCATCCCAAAACTAAAAAAATATGATTGTTTTTTTTGTTCTTATATAATAATTTCGGCGTAGTTAGGATAAAACTGAAATATAGAAAATTCTGACCTGTATATTGGAGATTGGAACATCAGATGTAATCAGTATAGAAAATGAAGATATTGAAGTTGTGACTGGAAGATTAAGAGTTGCTCCTAGGTTCCCTGTCCAACTGCTAGATACAGCTAACATACTGTTACAACTTCCAGCTCCTCCAGCTGTTGATGCGGCTGTCGTTGTTGTTGTTGTTGTTGCAGGTTTTGCTGTAGTTTGTGTTGCAGTTGTAGTGGAAGGATTTGTAGAGGGGGCTGCAGTAGCTGCTGTAATAGTAAAAAGCTAATAATTCACTTCTAAATGTCAAAGCCTAGTTAATAAAACGTTTCTTTAAGTTTAGAATTAAAATATCTTATGACCAAAGAACACATTTTTAAAGGGACTGTAAGCGCAAAGATTGCAATGCCTGATTTATAATGGTACGCTTGAAACCTTAATCTGATCAAAAATGTGTAAGATAAATATCATAGATTTTCTGTCTCGAAAAGTGCTTAATCCTGATAATTTCTCCAGTCTTTCATTTAAGCAAAAAATGTGGTGGTCAGTTCTGCGGAGAAACCACAAATCAAAATAAACTGTTTTCAAAAAAATTTTCAAAAACAAACAGCATGGATATCTAATTCATACTTGATCCGACAAAGCTTTTTAGGTTACAGTTGTTAATCCAGCATGCCATGCCATTTTCGCATGAAGGGTCACTTGAAGATATACTTACAGTCCCTTTTCGTAAAGAATCTGTGTTTCTCACTCTACTGTCTCCATTTTCAACTTCACTATAACCTTCAAATATTATCTAAAAAAGGAAGGAGATCCTATGCCCCGACCAATCTAATCTAGAAGGGCAATATATTGTGTAAACTAGTTAGTAACGGTCAGTGTTCACTCTAACCCCTGATCCATCACCCTTAGGCCGTTCCTTCTATAAACTACATTGGTCGACAAATTGACGTCTCCTATATTGGTCGTCAAATGTACTGAGAAATATCTACACTATCAGATAAGAATTTAGTATGAGACAACTTGGGGCCAACATATCGTCCCCCAAAGTACGTGAACTACACGACCACTATATATGGAGAAAACGGGCTCTGCAATCAAATATCATACATGGTGCCCCACGAAATATGACCGTTGGTGAAAAGTTTAAATGTCTTCTTCCATAATTTGTTAAATTGTTTGATACCAAAGAGAATGATAATAAATATTATGTGGCAGTCATATCATAGTAAAATGGATTTCAAAGTAAATTATATTTGAGTAAATGATTTGTTTAACGAAATAAACTGCATTAAGTATTTAATATCTAAAACAGTATATGTAAGACGACATTCAAAACCATTCATCAACTGTCATGTTTCATGGGACACCCTGTACAAAATTTTGAGGAATTTTTTCACCTGAATTGCAAACAACATTTACTGCCCAATTACAATTCTTGATAGAGTCATCCCACAGGAGTCCAGCTGCACATGATTCACTAGTAGCTACGCCATAGAAGCATTTATAGAACTTCTGGCAATCGGATGGGTCAGCAAAGTTACCCGCAACACCTGGGGGGCAAACAAACACACCAGCTGGAGCCTTTGTTGTAGAAGGCTTGGATGTGGATGTAGTAGTTGGTGAAGGTGATGTAGGTCCTGAAGAGCAGTTACAGATATTTTCAACAAAAACTAAGAAATGCTAGAACAATCCCTTTATAAATTACCTGAATTACAAGAGACAAGAGCCGCCCAGTTGCAGAGCTTGAGGGAATCATCCCAAAGGGTTCCAGCTGGACATGATTCCTGGGTAGAGATGGACATTGATGTTTCATATTTTGCTTTTCACCTGACAACAAATTTAAATTCTATACTTTTTGCAAATGAGCTTATGATGAGTTAATGAAATCTTTACAATATTAGAGGAACTTGACACATAAAAATGAAAACTATAAACATGCAGGGGCGGAATTTAACAAATTTAAGCCACAGCTTAAATTCAAGTTGTGGCTGAAATATGGCTGGTTCCACTTAAAATCGTATTCAATGTTTCAAGATTTAAAGCAGCGCTCAATTGAAACCATTTTTTGGGGGATTTGAGACGCGGCTCAAATCCATATACAATTTTAGGTTGGATACAGTTTCTAAACTACAGGGGTGTGCTAAAAACCTGTAGTTGTAGGAAGCTAGTACCTTCATTTTGGAGAAAATTTTAGACATTTTTTGATGGTGCAAACAAGAGCCTTCAATAATTTCTGTAGTTAATTTAATTTAAATTTGAAATTTTTTCTCAATTTGTGATTTGGGGTTTTGAAAGAGTAAATGGTCCTCGATCCTAAGTTTTAAAAAAACTTGATTCTTTTACGACTTGTGACTACGATCGCAAGAAGTCGTTGAACTGTGTAGATGCGGTTCAACTACAAATCCTTACTTTTAATTTTGAATCGGTTATTTAGGATTTGATCCTGTAAACACAGTAAGTAGTTGAACCGACGGTGGAAAGTTCAACGACTTTTCTCCAATTGATTAAATCAGGTCCAAGAAAAACTATGCCTGTCTCTATTCCTGAAAAGCTGTTCCGTAGAAGCATTTATAGAACTTCTGACAGTTAGAAGGATCAGCAAAGTTTCCAGCAACACCTGCTGGGCAACTAAATCCTGAGACTAAGCAAAAAATACATATTTTTAAAGGTAAAATTTAACCTGTAAACATTATTACGGAACTGATTTCTTGCCTCAAACTCCAATTCTTATTTTTTTTCATAGCTTTACACTATCAGGGACAATATCGTAACGAATTTGAGCTAGGTTGGTGAACTACCTAATATCGGTTAAAATTTAAATCATTTATACAAAGTTTAAGGTTCAAAAGGATTTGAATCGGTGATTCAAGATTTCAACCGATGGTGCCAGTTCTAGGTAGCTCAGCGAACTCCCCAGCAATGTATTAAATTTGGTCCCTGGTTGCAATGATATGCGGATCAAAGAGGATCGAAGCAATCAATTTCTTATTTCGAAAGGATATAATCAAAAAAGTGCAATTAAAATATCAAATCTAAGTGATTGCTGTAAATATGTGATGAAAATTCCAGGGTTACATGAAAACCACTGTAATTAAGAATTAACATGTGAATGTTTAAAGTTTGATGGCATTGCGCATAAAATAATTCGTTTAGTACTTTGCCTTTACAAGTGTTTAATTATTCATGCAATAGAAATATATATTTGATATGATACATTTAAGTATAATGAATGTTAAGATTTTAATGATATAATTAGATGAAATGAAAATATTTCATGATTTATAATGCATATTTGTAATTAAAAATGAATGCGAGTGCAGTAAACAATATTGAGTTTATCTGAAATCTTAAAAATGAAAAATTAAAGGAGATTCCACCATTTCTTGAATACTTCTGAAAATAAAGATCTTTATTTTATTATTTTGCTTTTTTGAATTGTTAAAAAGTTGAATCCATCCAACTGTGGAAGCCGTAATTAAAGCAATATTTAATGTACTTGATGCTTCTATAAAACAGAAAACTTTACCAGGTATATTATATATATACCTTAAAAATAAACTTAAATGTGTTTCAACCGGAATTTCAGTTTTTTTCGGAATTTTTTTACATTTCCTTTATGGAAAATATTATGGAATTCCGAATTCATTTCAGGGCCATTTTTTCTCTTCTAACCGGAATTTCCGGAACCCTGTTCCGGAATAATGTTCCGTTTTTTCCGGTTTCGATTTTGTTTGAAATTTTCTTTAAATTCCGGCTTTTCCGGATCTTTCTAAAATGGATTTCCCCCCCGGAATAATGGAAACTCTAAGTTTCAGTGCACTCCATCAATTGCAATGTTCCATGATCATAACTAGGGTCTTCCAGAATTTTATGGGTTCCACTGTATTAGTTCCTGTATTAGTTCCTGTATTAGTTCCTGTATTAGTTCCTGTATTAGTTCCTGTATTAGTCTGTATTAGTTTCTGTATTAGTTCCTGTATTAGTTCCTGTATTAGTTCCTGCATTAGTTCGTTCCTGTATTAGTTCCTGTATTGATTCCTGTATTAGTTCCTGTATTAGTTCCTGTATTAGTTCCTGTATTAGTTCCTGTATTAGTTCCAGGTTCCTGTATTAGTTCCTGGTTCCTGTATTAGTTCCTGTATTAGTTCCGGAATTAGTTCCTGTATTAGTTCCTGTATTAGTTCATGTATTAGTTCCTTTATTAGTTCCTGTATTAGTTCCTGTATTAGTTCCAGGTTCCTGTATTAGTTCCTGTATTAGTTCCTGTATTAGTTCCTGTATGAGTTCATGTATTAGTTCCAGTATTAGTACCTGTATTAGTTCCTGTATTAGTTTTCAAACTTATGCGTGATAACAATTACAATTTCGTGAATTATTTGTATTAGCAATATTATGGCCCGGGTAATGTTATTTCGACAGAAAATTAAAATAGATTAATTGTGATATTTTGGAACGTGGAAGTGCAAATGATAATACTAAATAGATAAAAAAAAACACAATTTTCTAGCCAACGTAAAACTAAATCCCGAAATTAAATAATCATAAAAAACAAAAATTTCCTAAAAAGGCTGAAAATAAATAAAAGTAATAAAAATTTTGTTAACTTAGTGTTAAGGTATTGCCCATTTATATAAGCATGTTCAATTCAAACCGGTCACTTATAGCCTTGTTTGATTAGGAATCTATTAGATATCCATGTTTTTTTACTTTGAAGTATGATTATTTTCAATTGTCATTTCTCAATGAAAGAGGCGGATTTCTTGCTTCGGAAACAATTGAGTATTCTCTTCAGAATTAAATACGTTAGTGATCAGGTAAGGTTTGAAGGGTTTGAAGGGGATCGAACATGCTCCTCTTTTTTTTTAAATGGTGTGTCACTTAAAAAAACAATGACAGTCCCTTTAAAATACAAAAATCCACAATATTACTTCATCTACCTTCTGTTGTACATATTGTAACAAACAGATTTAATCCGAAAAATAGTTTAAGCTTCATCGTTACCGAGTTCAGCAACGACTGGATTTTTTTCAAATTGTGTGAAAAGAAAATAACATATGTTTAGGTATTATTAATAGTAATGTTGTCCGTATGATAATAAACATGGATTTAAAACAGGGAGAGTTTAAAATCTATATTATCTAGAAAAAATTTTTATTCGTAGGCTTTCAGGACGCTTCGCGCCTATCTTTGAGCTTTGAGCTTATTTGTCGCTCATTTATCGATATTTTTCGTGGATTTTGAAAAATTGAAATTTTGTTGAAGGCGTTTTTACCTGAGAATGTGTGAAGTCCCACAAAAAATTTGAGCCCGATCAGTTCATCTGTTTTGACGTTTAGAATAAATATTGAATTTAGATAATTTTTGAAAAGTTTTGAAATTTATATACTTTTTTCACCCCTCTTCAACCACTAACGCCTGTTCAATGTTTTTTTAAAATGTGACGGACATATATATAGTGATGCTAGGTTGTCAAGCTGAATTTTGATGACTACTGAGGATTGGGCTCACTCATTTTCCTCCGTTAACGTTTGTAAAATGTGTTTTTCCTCAAATGTTACAGACACTGTTAACAGGAATGATCTCGAAATTTGAAGTGACCCATTTTATACAAAGATGGTATTGCATCAAAAAGCCTTCGTTGATCAAAAATGTGTTACAATTTTGAAAACTCATTCTTTTTAATTTTGACTTCTGAAATGTTAGTATTTTTACTGTAAGAAAGAATATAGGAATAATTAGAATTAAATTCTGTAAACTTTACAAAAACAAGGATATCTTCTTCAGAATTGATCAGATAAAGTTAAATGGGGCATTGTCAGCTTTGCATGAAGATTGAAGGATCACTTCCTTTTAATATCTAACTACCTAAACCATTTCAACCTCTACGAACATTAAGTTAAAAAAAACATAAGGGATTGCTCACCGAAATTTAAAAATTTCTCGGCTTCTGATTAGCTGTTCGGGTTTATTCAAACGCCCTAATGATTAGTTGAATTTTATACAGTTTTCTGGATATACAAACAATGTTTAAATTACTACGACAGTGTACTGTTGTACATTTGGTACAGGGTGTCCCAATAAACATGGAATTCAGTGACGAATTCGATATCGTCTTTTTAAATAATTCTTTGATTTAGTATAGTGATACCTACTGAGAAAGCTGTAATCTGTAAGAGTTTTTTTTCTGCTATGTTCACATTTTGTTTGTTTATGTTTTAACTGAATGCAGTTGTACTTAGTAAAACAAGGAAATAGCAGTTACACAGAATACAAACAGAGTAAACTTGACCGTCTTCACTGTTCATCTTGCGGAGACATTACAGACACATCTTTACTTTACCCTTTCTATAAAATAACTTCTAGCAATCATAATAATATTATGGCTTTTGAAATCAGATATTACAATGCTAATTCATAACAAAGACGATATCAAATTCGTCACTAAATTCCCATGTTTTTTGGAACACCCTGTACATGCTTCTCGTTTTTAAACTGCCAGTCCCGTTAATTCTATAGCTAAAATCTAGAAAACTATAATAATAAAAAAAAATCCGAACCCCTCAAGCTAGGAAGCTTTTGTTGTATTCCCTGTTTTCCTAATGCCATGATGAGGAGAAAAAAAGCTGCCACTTGTGCAGTACAAAACATAAACGATTTAAATTATGAATATATAATATGAATTAAAAACATGATATGAATTGAATATATAATATGAATTAAAAACATGATATGAATTGAATATATAATATGAATTAAAAACATTATATGAATTGAATATATAATATGAATTAAAAACATGATATGAATTGAATATATAATATGAATTAAAAACATGATTTGAAATGAATATATAATATGAATTAAAAACATGATATGAATTGAATATATAATATGAATTAAAAACATGATATGTATTGAATATATAATATAAATTGAATATATAATATGAATTAAAAACATAATATGAATTAAAAACATGATATGAATTAAAAACATAATATGAATTAAATATTTAAAATGAAATGAATATATAATATGAATTAAAAAAATAATATGAATTAAATATATCATAGGAAAAAGATTGCTATTATAAATTAACCCAATTTGAAAATATGCCGTTTTTAACTTTAATGTAATTTATCACACAATCTAATGATTATAAACTAATCTTTCACACTTGCCACAATATATAATATTATATTATATCCTTCTAACTCAACCCCCCCCCCCTTCACCCCATACCGATTCACAATCCCATGGTGTCTCCCCTATCAGTAGGTAAAAATTTAAACTGATAAATTTCATGCATGTTCTTTTTTCTTTGAATAATTCTGTTATATTTGATACTAGCTGAAAAAAGAAAAATTTGTGAAAAAAAATATTTGAAAAAAATACGAATCTTTTTAAGCCTATATCACAAAAAATTTCAGCCCAATCGGTCCAGCCGTTTGGCCGGCCATAGCCAACATACATATATATATATACGAAAGTCTTGTTTTATTATATAGATCGTTTTATTTTCGCACTGATTACACGCACGTCTGCCCATTTAGTAAAAGTAAATTCAACCTATATGAAGCATAAAGTCTGACCGCGTCAACCTTGTTGCACCAGCTAGTCCTGTCCATAGAGCTAGGTACAGTACAAACTGGGACCGGAAAAGTTGACCCGGCTCGGAAATTCAAATGTACTACGGCTGCCCGTGATTATAGGAGATGATAAAATGCTGAAATATATATTTACAGAAAAGCGGTCTCCATCTTTTATTTCTGATCTTGTTTGTTCATATTGCTCTATTTCTGATCTGGTTTGTTCATATTGCTCTATTTCTGATCTGGTTTGTTCATATTGCTCTATTTCTGATCTGGTTTGTTCATATTGCTCTATTTATGATCTGGTTTCTTCATATTGCTCTATTTATGATCTGGTTTCTTCATATTGCTCTATTTCTGATCTGGTTTGTTCATATTGCTTTAAATGTTCCCTACGCTCTGTTTAAAAGCTGAAAGGCTCAGCTTCTATGTGACATTGAATGTACGTAAGCAAAAAAAGATGCAATAAAAGTTTATACTGCAGGTTTTACCATTTAATAAAAGTTAAAAACAAAATTTTTCATGAATTGTATATGGCGCATACAAAACATTTCATAAAAACATATTTCCTATTGTTTGAAAACAATACTTTGTAAAATATTTGTTCAGCTGCTATCGTCATACAAATATTTAATGTTAAATATAATATTAATTTGTGAATTAGAACGGATATTCCCTGTTATTCAATTGGAAAACTGTTAAGCATAAATAGGAGAACTTTTTTATCCCTAATTTTCCTATTTGAGTTTAAGTGGAATAAAATTATATTTTCAATACATCCAATAATAAATTTGATTTTGTTGAGTGTACAGTGAGAATCACGTATATCCAAGCTGACGAGGACTTGTTCAACAAACATTCTATAAATTTCTAACAATTAACCGAAGTTAGCATATCTCATACTTGTGCGTAAAGTCCAAACTAGACGTGGTACGAGGTCACAAAGTATTACCAGTATGAAGCATAAATTTTACCCTTTACTTCCATCTAGTTTACTCTTCAGCAAAATCACTTTAATTAACATGCATCGTTATCTCTAAGTTTTGATTTTCGATCAAATACTTGAAAGATAAGTGCAAAGCGACAGCGCAAATATGATCTACCAGATCTGAACACTTCGATGTCGGTATCATGTAGTAAATACTAAATCTAATTCTTTCTTTCCAATGTAAAATGTAGACATGTGTTAAAATGTCCCCGATGTGGAATGTAGACGCGTCGGTGAAAATGTCTACCCCCTCTTCGCCCCCTCTCTACACCCCCTCTACACCC